GTGGGGTTGTTTTTTCGTTTATTGGCTGATTTGCATATATACCCTTAAATCATGGATGTTTGTAAGACGTATTTTTAAATCTGAGTATTTGCAAAAACTATCTCTCAAATCATCAATTTTGGGGAAAAAGCTTGAAGCAATTAATCAACAAATTAGATAAGCTAATTTGTACTCACAATTTAAAATTTATAAATAAAATAGTTAGATTTTTAACACACGGTTGATGATTTGCTGATTGTAAAGTATTTTTTTTATGAAGCTGATAATTTGAGGTGTAGTTTTGTAAATATTAATATATAAAATACTTTTTGTAAATATCCATAATTTAAGGGGTATGCACGTGAAATACCTTTGTTTATTTTAGTAAGGTTGTGAGTGTGGGCCACGGTGGGTGATGGGTGATTGATGCATCTGTTGGGAATTAATTGGGTGACACGTCATAGGGCGGGAATTCGCACCTTATCCCTAGTTGGTGATGGGCACGTGGCGGTGGTTGACCGGCTTGGCCAGTGAGGGGTCACGCGGTGAGCGCCTGCGCAGATTTGAAAAAAAAAAAAATTTAATAAAGAATTTGCACATAATTCCCTGAGATGTGTTGTAATAGCGCTTCTAACATCTTAGAAGTGGCATTACACCTTTTCTATTTCAACTCAAATAAAAGTCAGTTTCAATTTTTTTTAATGCATTATTATTTTTCAATGAAATTGTTACACATATGTTTTCGCTGGAATGCATTGAATTGTGATATTAGCTTCTACTAGTTCAAAGTTAACTTCTTAGAAAGGAGAGGTGAGGAGAGGAGAGGAAACGGTCACCTTTGAAATTTCATAGAGATCTTTTGTCAATCATGCAAATTGTAGCGTAGGGGATGCAAAAATCATGTCATTGGGTAAGGGTGTGTTTGGTTGCACAATTTTATAGAAAAGTTTTCTCAAAATGTTTGACAATGAAAATTCTGTAATTAAAAATTTTCTGTTGATTTTCATAAACTGTGTTTGGTTCAAAACAAATTTACAGAAATATTTTCTGTAAAGTACAAAAAACTACCAAAATTTACAGAAATTATTTTTCTCTCAAAATGTGCGGAAATCACCCAGAAATCTGACACAACATTAACATTTTTTATAAAGTTGATACTTTTCTATAAATTTAGGGGGTGTTTGGTTCAATTTCTACAAATTATAAAAAATCTTGCTATTTTCTATAAAGTTATGGGTCATTTTCTTGTTTTGAACCAAACAAGCAAATAAAAAAAAAGAAAATTGGTACTTTTTAATTTCTCAAAAAAATTCCTATAATTTTTTAAAGAAATACAAGTAAATCATATTTTTGAGTGGAAAACATTTCCTATTTTTTGTAGAAATTGAACCAAACACGCCATAATTTGGTCAAGCAAATAACTTCCAAAAAAGGCAAAATTACTTATTACGATCCCAAAATTAGTATAGCACGGATAAGAAAAATACACGTGCGGAATACAAAACACTTACTATCGGAGTCTTAACCAGCAATTTCATGATAAGGTCATCTAGATTACCACAATTACTACCACTACCAGCCTACATAAAATTACATCGGAGCAATGATTATACATGCTTGAAATCTATTAGGAAATTTTAATTGGTGGATTTTGGATTAGAGCTATATTAAGGAAAACAATCTAAATGAAAAAGGAAGTCAATAAATTACAGCCTCAATTTGATTAGGAAATTCAACAAAGGTATCAAATTAAATTATATCTTACTCAAAAAAATTGGTTAAATAACCATTTATTTATTGCTCTGATATCTCAGAGGAGTATGCGATACATTCATGACGTAAACAAGAATAGTTGTCAATGCGACAGATAATAACATCTCTCAAAGAGAAGAGAAGAAAAACTAGGAAGAACATAAGAAATTAATCTCTCGCGTTAAGATCTTCTTCTTCTCTCTGCGATCGATCGATCAAGAACAAGAAGAAGAAGGAATCCGATCTCTCCCACTCTCGAGCACTCAACGATCGATCAATCGATCAGAAGTTTTTCTCAAATAATCGCGAGGGGCGACGGAGGAAAAAACTCCTCTGGGTAATCTTTGATTTTTGGTAATCTTTGATTTTTGTATTTCGTTGATCTTCTCCGATCTGTTGATTTCTTGATCTCAGTTCTAAGGTGTTTGATTTTTTCTTTTTTAGAAAAAAAAAAAAAAAGAGAGAAAAAAGTTAATAGGAAAAAGAAAGAAAAAGCATGGATAGATCTAGAGTTTCTTCAGATTTGTTGATTGGCCCAGTTGATACTACTAATTTTGTGGCAAAAATGATTTGGGGAGAATCCAATCCATCCCTTATTTCTGATTCTTTGTTGAAGCCCAAGCCCAAGCCCAGTTTTTTGGAAACTAGGGTTAAAGAAACTAGAGTTAACAAGGATTTTCAGGTTGAGTTTAATCCAGCGGCTGAGATTTTTGAGGTTGACAACCAAATCAAATCAACGAAGGAAGATGAGGGGGAGTGGGTTAAAGTGGTGAAAAAAAACCCTAGATCTCAGCCTCCTCCCAAATTCCCCATTGCTTCTCGTCCTCGTTTTTTCTCTCCAGATTTTATTCGTCGAAATCGATTGTGTTTTCGTTGTGGAGGTTCAAATCACATGGCGAAGGACTGCAGAGATCCTGTGATCTGTTTCAGATGCCAAGAATTGGGTCATGAGGCGAGAAATTGTAGATCTGGTATGATGAATCACGGATCTGAGAATAGAGGGCGCGGTTATGGTGGTCGTGGTGGTCGTGGTCAGAATGTTGAAGGTCGAGGTCGTAATTTTGGAGGTCGGAATTCTTTTGGTGGAAGAGGAAGTGGTGGACGCTTGGGTGGTCTTCCTGGGAGATCTGAACGTTCAAATCCTTGGCAATGGAAGAGAGCGACAACCTCCTTTTCTTCTTCAAGAAATATCGAACGACCTTCGGATAATCCTCCTCATAATAAAGGGAAAAGACCTCTTTCTGCTGTTGATGAGGAAAAATTGCAAGAATCTTGTTTAAACTTTCAAGATCAAGGTCCTAGAGACTTTGGAGATTTGGAAGCAGAGCTTAAAGTCTCTGGTGAACGCCCTCGCTTTTCTGCAGCTGTCATCAATTTCGAGGGGGAGGTAAATTCTGGCTTTCAAAAGTTTAGAAACTTTGCTATAGTTTCATTTGTTGAGGGTGGTAATGTTTCTTTAGAAAGATTGGAACTGGATCTTAGAGCTTTCTTTCCTCTGAATAAACATTGGGATGTTAGATTGTTCACTAATGGTGAAGTTCTAGTGTCTTGCAGAGAACATGTTGTTTGTGTACTAAATCAGATGAAGATCATTCTCATTTGTTCCTGAAATGTGAGTTTGTGTACTCTATTTGGAGATCACTTCAATTCAAGTTGAATACTGACAAAGATTTTAGTTTGTCTTCTGTGAAAGAAGTTTGGATACAGTGGACTAGTGGATACAAGGGAGACTCTAATTTGAAGAGAAGAGTTTTCATTTGCTCTCTTATATGGTGTCTTTGGCAGGAGCGTAATGACAGAATATTTTCTGATAAGAAGAAGAGCTCTCTTACCCTCTTGAACAAAATTGTAACTTTCTCAACATTTTGGCTAGGATCTGAGGATCTCTCCCACTCTCGAGCACTCAACGACGATCAATCGATCAGAAGTTTTTCTCAAATAATCGCGAGGGGCGACGGAGGAAGGGAAAAGTCCTCTGGGGTAAT